GGCCCGGCCGGCGCAGAGGCGGCCAAGCAGTGCAGTCCCTGCTCGGCGGCGGCGCAGAGCTCGTCGGGGCCCGCGGCGCTGCCCTACGGCTATTTCGGCAGCGGCTACTACCCGTGCGCCCGCATGGGCCCGCACCCCAACGCCATCAAGTCTTGCGCGCAGCCCGCCTCGGCCGCCGCCGCATTCGCCGACAAGTACATGGATACTGCTGGCCCCGCGGCAGAGGAGTTCAGCTCCCGCGCTAAGGAGTTCGCCTTCTACCACCAGGGCTACGCGGCCGGGCCTTACCACCACCATCAGCCAGTGCCTGGCTATCTGGATATGCCGGTGGTGCCGGGCCTCGGGGGCCCCGGCGAGTCGCGCCACGAGCCCCTGGGTCTTCCTATGGAAAGCTACCAGCCCTGGGCGCTGCCCAACGGCTGGAACGGCCAAATGTACTGCCCCAAAGAGCAGGCGCAGCCTCCCCATCTGTGGAAGTCCACTCTGCCCGGTAAATGGCACCCCTTCCCCAGCCCCGGGTCCTCTCGTTTTGCTCCAGCTTCTCCTCCGCTCGCGCCCGGGTCACCCGGGTGCCCGCTCCTCTCTCCCTGGCCTGCCCTAGCAGAGCTGCGCGCCTGGAAGCCCGACCCCCACTAGCTGGCGCTGCCCACACTGTGCCCGAGTTGGGCTGGCCCCTAGCCTTCCCTGGGTGAGGGGTGGCTGGGAGGGGACTTGTGGAGACCCCGGCTGGCTTCCTGCGTCCTCTGTGCCCCGCCCTCCACAGCTCTTGACACCAATTTAACATTGGAAAAATGGCTCTCCAAATTCGTTCTCTCAAAAATGGCTTCAGTTTAGAGGCATCAAGTGTTGGGGTTTGGGGAATACAAAGGGGAGGCAGGTACGGAAGGATTGTCTGCTGAAACGGGAGCCAAGGTGTGAGCCCTTGGGCCGGGTGATCGACCTGAAAGCGAGTGTGATATGACCTGGCAGGGTTTGTCAGTGGAGAGCTGGGCCATTTCAAAACTAAACCCCATTGCCACTCACCCTCCAGGCTTTGGAGGAAGGCCGGATTTTATAGCGAGTGGCAAAGGGCAGCCGGGCGCTGCTAGTCGGGTTGCGCAGCTGGAGCTGTCGCTTGTGCCCTCATCTGGGGCTGATCTCTCCATAACTTGCCTTCTCCCCTGTCTTCCAGACGTGGTCTCGCATCCCTCAGATGCCAGCTCCTACAGGCGGGGGAGAAAGAAGCGCGTACCTTACACCAAGGTGCAATTAAAAGAACTTGAACGGGAATATGCTACAAACAAATTCATTACCAAGGACAAACGGAGGCGGATATCAGCCACAACGAATCTGTCTGAGCGGCAGGTCACAATCTGGTTCCAGAACAGAAGGGTCAAAGAGAAAAAAGTCATCAACAAACTGAAGACCACTAGTTAATGGATTAAAAATGGAGCAAGAGGGCAATTTGAAGAAATGCTTCAGAACTAATTGCTTTGCCCAGATAATGATAATAATGCTTACTAATAATTGAAGAACCAGAAAGAGAAAGAGAAAGATACTGGCATTTTGCTTTCTCAAGGGGGACCTCTATCTCTTTGGTGGAATCTACAACTTTAAAAAAAAAAAAAAAACTTTACTGTGATACATGGTAAAGACTGACAGTGCTCCAGGCAACCCCACCAGACTGTTCAATGACAAACTCTAGAGTCAAACACCAACCCCCAAATACGCAATTTCAGATAAGTTACGCATTTACTGAAATCTTGTAAGTATTTATGTGACCGTTATATTTTAGGGCACTATGTTAGATGGTAATAATGCAAACGTTGGTTCCAAAAGCAAGAGGCTGTTGTAAACATCTGCTTGTCTTTGGGTCTCCGTCTCCGTTGCATGCTAAGTGACTGCTCAGGTAAATCTTAGCAAAATCCCCACCATTGTTGTATGTTCTACAAAAATGTTTCATGTATAGATTCAGAGGGAGAAAGAGAAGAAGGTACTGAAATAATGGTTTTGGAGTATTTACTATGAAGGGAGAAAGTTCTTCTGAGGATCATTTGTCTTAGTAGTATGTATATAACCAGCTGAACATTTGAGGCTACAAATACCCTACGGAGAATAATTTTTAATTACACATAACAAGCATCATTTGTGGCATTTGGATCATATTTATTGCCCCAATATCTTTTGTTTTAAAAGGATTATTTATCTTTTTTAAAAACGTTGGATGCATCAGATGAACTACAGGATCCATTTTATGTCAGGTTCTCGGGAGGTCCCTCTCCAACATTATGGACTTTGGTTTGAACATGATTCATTTAAATTGGCATTTCCCAATATTTGTTAAACATTTTACTAGAGAAAACAAAGAAAAGAAACCCCCCCCTTTTTTTTAAGAAAACTCAGAATGGAAATCCATTTCCCCCGAAACATTCAAATGCCCCACGTTTTATATTTTGATCTCTTAAGGAGTGAGTATTTTTTCTTGTTTATTGTGTTATGAGACCACCTTAGAAAGTGTAGGGGATTCATCATCACAGCACACTTTTAATCAAGCAGTTATTTCAACCAGTACATTCATTTTGTTCATATTCACTATAAAATGCTATCTTGTAAATAAAGACATTCAGCACAATGTGAAAATGTATTTGTGCACCTGCTTTTAAAATATTTATCGTAAAAATGAAGAAGGAAAAAAATTAGACCTGTAGATAGTGTTATAGTGGTGTTACTCTGTTAATAAAATGGTCACTGCCATAAATATCTGAAGGAAATACTTATTACTTTCCTATGCTGAACGTACATTGCACAGAAAGAAAGGAGCAAATTTGTCTTACACAAACCACGGACCATTCTTTTTATTTTCTTTTTTTCTACATTTTTTTTTAAGTAAAGGGAGAAGTCCCTGATAACTAAAATCCTAAAAATGATGAGTGCTTCAAGAAGGTTAAAGTGTCAGGTATTCTGAAAGGGGGCAAAAAGACAGAAGGAAGAGAGTATAAATTCCCAGGCACCGTGTGGAAAATGAAAACCAGTTGTTTAGTATCAGCGATGCCTAAGCTGTCGTATTTTAAGATCTACTGTTGGGCCTGCATTTGTCTGAGAGGGCAGGTTTTGATATTTGTTGAAATGACAGAACGAGGAAGGGCCTTAAACCTTGACCTTGACGAAAAAAGACAATTTGTGACCTTGACTTTTTGACAGCTCATGAATTGGCCTCAGCTGGATTAGTAGATCAAGGGCGCCACCTCGCGTTGACAAGCCTTCCTGTAATTCTTCAGCTTCAAGGAAATCAAAAGTTCTGCCCTTCTTGACTCACTGTTGTAGGGATTTAAACTCATTTCTTTGGCTCAAGATGGAGCAAATTTGAACATATGTAAATTATACATGTGCCTGTATATATGTGAATGTATATCATATATGTATATACATGTATACATTTGCATATTAGTGCTTGTGTGTGCTTGTATATGTATTTGTAGAAACTGTGTACAGATATAGTGTCATTAATTTCTGATGACCCAAGATACTGTAATTTAAGATAATTTCTGGAGTTGGGCTACAAAATGTACCTTACATTATGAAATTTTTCTCCTTTTCCTTAATGCCCAAGTTTAACTTGTCTTCACAGTGGCTTGCTCTGCATCAGATCTCTGAAGAGCTACTTTAAAGCTGTACATTTTTGTAACAGTGTAAGAGGTGTTCTTAAATAACCACTTTCCTAGCCCTCACCCTCCAAGGTGGTCTACCATCCTAATTAGAGCTATTGGGGAGTCTTTACGGCAAATAAAAAGTTTCAGATGCCTTGGTAACTCTAGAGTTCTAGAGTTACATTTGAGAAATTCAAAGAAATCCACCTCTTGAGAGGCCGGTGTGGAGAGCTTAAAGATTTCAGATCCACAAAATGACCATAATATGGATGCAGAAGTTGAGTTATCCTGGATAACTTGGAGCCCAGTGCTGTTCTGGGCTCATGTGCGATCTTATATCGATGCTTGCAAATCGGCCATTTGATTTGTGGGAGGCATATATATATTTAATATTAACAAACACCATCAAAATTAGAGTAATTGTAAGTATTGTAACTACTGTTTATTGACGACTAGCAACATATCAGGTGCTGTGTTCAGAATCCTACATAGTATATATGTATGCGTACGTAGTTAACATACACATAGGATAATATGCTTTTGTCTAGTCCATGCTATATACAGATGTATAAAAATGTTGGTCAAACAAGGAGCCTTGGGATGCAAAATGTTGAGATCTGGGTTAATTTTATCTGTATGTTAAAGGGAAGAGCAAAGTAATAGTGAATCAAAGACCCAAATTTGTCATTTTATGGAATGTAATATTGGCTGATTACAAACCTGGCTGACAGAACCTTGCCTAAAGACTTAGAGCTTCTTTACAGATAGAGAATTATGGGAAGAATTTCTTAAGTTGTCTCAAAAGCAAGATGGTCTTGTAACACACATATCGAATGGCCTACTAAAGTGCAATCCTATTCTGATGCCCTGAGGATTTTCACTCCACTTGTGGAAACAAATGAAAATGGTGCTTATAACCCACCCCAGCACAACTCCTTCCACAGCACTCCATTTCTAAATGAGCTACCATGAAGCCAAAGTCACAACTTTCCCAAAAAATATTTAAAGTGGTGGAAAATCCCCTCAAAGCTGAATCAAACTGTGTTTACCAAAAGCTCCAAAAGGGACTCTTCTGTTGATGGGGGTATTTTTTTTAGATGTAAGAAATGTTCTGAGCCTCAGGCCTAGGAAGGAGGCCAAGGGCAGCTTTGCAGCCGGAAAGGAATACCATCACCACCACAGGAACCCTGGGTAAAGTAATGGTCTTTTCTTTTCCTCTCTCCAGTTTTTGAAACTATAACAAAAGAAGACAAGAGGATATCTCAGGTTCCCCCCCTCCCATCTAAAATGGTTGTTTATCATATCCATCTTGTCTAACTTCCCTCATATTTAAAATTCTCATGGATCTACTAGGTAGCCTGAGCTGGGCATGGGTTAAGATGGCTTCCCAATGCCCACATATCAACCAATGTAAACCTCTAGCTAAAAGACATCAAGGAGGATGGCAGCTATCTCTTGACAAATAGGAATGATAATGTCACACATTGACCCACAGGTAATGTGGTCAAATGCTGATTCAAGTATTGTTTTTCTAAAAAGGAAACTCTTCCTGAATAACAAACTATAAACGTGGAACTTAAAAAAAAAAAAAAAAAAAAAAAAGAGGCAAACAACCTACTTTTTCCATCTGCTCTTAATACTGTCGAATTTATTAAGGTGTTTTAAGAGGATGATTGTAAAATGTCAATGTGCATCCCACTACTACATATGCCTGATGCGGACCTGAAGGTATTCATTTAAATTGTTCTTTAAAAAAAAAAAGGAAGAAGGAAAGGAAAAGGAAATTTAAAAAAAGAAAAAGAAGAAGAAAGAAAGAAAAGAAAAAGAAGACGGAAAACGAAAAGTGTTTCTTTTTGTAAAAATGCAACCTAATTGGAATGCATTCTTAAACATTCACGAGGCAGCGAGACTCAGCTGAGGGCGATCCATTTGTATGCGGATAGTTAACCGCACAGATTTCGCTACGGAATGTACGTGCGGATTACACCCTGCTGCGTGGGTTTGGAGGGTTTGGTGCAGATGGGGCTTCTGGCTTGCGCGCTGCGAATTCCGATCGCAGACGAAGGCTGCCAGCCGGGGACTGCTGCACTCCAGACCCGATCGGTTCAGAGGCGCCCTTCCGGACTTGCGGACCTCGACAGAGGAGACGTGAGGGGCTCGCTGATTTATGCGCATTCCTTTAAAGTTGATCGAATGCGTGTCAGCAGCCCAAGTCCTGGAGAATCAGAGAAATGTGCGGCGAGTCGCTCACGTCCCATTTTTCATAAACAAAGATGCAGCGTTGCCCAAGCGGGCCGGAGAGATTGATGCCTAGGTTTTAGGACAGGCACGCTAATCAAATTTTCATCTGCTCTGCCGCCGAGTAAATCACGGCCGGTTTCATTCTTTATGAAAATTCCCGATTTCTGTTCGGCAGCTTCTCTGCTCACGCATCTACCCAGCGCCCCCGAATGCCTGTGAGGTGTTTGCTATTTTTAATTTGATCTTAAAGGGAGGAAAAAAGATGCCGGCGCAGAAAAAATTCCCCCTGGAAAACAGCAAGGCCTCGCCACAGTGGCTTTCATTTCTGCCCGGTTCTGTCTCGCCTCTGCAGACTTGGATCCACCAGGTAAAAATCAGTCGAGGACGTCTCGGAGATTCTCAGCCCTTGCCGAGCGGTTGGGCAGCGACTCAGGGTCTCCCGTAGATGCGGGGATGCGGACCAGGGGGAGAAGCCCTGTCCGACGGCTAGGGAAACCGCCTGCTGCCGCACCCCTGGGGACAGAGGAGCTGCTCAAAATCCTCCGCGTC